TGACACTGTCTAACCATCTCATCCTTTGCCGTCCCCGTCTTCTTTGACCTTCAATCTTTCCCAGCATCAGGGTCTTCTCCAGTGAGTGCTCCCTTCTCATTTGGTGGCCAAAGTATTTGAGCTTCAGTTTCATTATCTGGCCTTCCAGGGAACAGTCAGGGTTGATTTCTTTGAGGATTGACTGATTTGTTCTTCTTGCAGTCCAAGGGACTCTCAAGAGTCTTCTCCAGCACCATAGTTCAAAAGAATCTATTCTTCGGCGCTCGGCCTTCCTTATAGTCCAACTCTCGCAGCCATACATGACTACTGGGAATACCATTGCTTTGACCATGCGGACTTTTGTTGGCAGGGTGATGTCTCTACTTTTTATCATGCTGTTTAGGTTCGCCATCGCTTTCCTCCCAAGGAGCAGGCGTCTTTTAATTTCATGGCTGCAGTCACAGTCTGCGGTGATCTGGGATCCCAGGAACGTGAAGTCTGTCACTACTTCCACAGCTTCCCCTTCTATTTGCCAAGGAGTGATGGGGCCGGATGCCATGATCTTAGTTTTTTTGATGTTGAGCTTCAAGCCCACTTTTGCGCTCTCCTCTTTTATCCTGAGCAAGAGGCTCTTTAGGTCCTCTTCACTTTCTGCCATTAGAGTGGTATCGTCTGCATATCTGAGGTTGTTGATCTTTTCCCCAGCAATCTTAATTCCCGCTTGTGATTCATCCAGGCCAGCATTTCGCATGATGTACTCTGCATATATATTAAATAAGCAAGGTGACAGTATACATCCTTGTCGTACTCCTTTTCCTATGCTGAACCAATCAGTTGTTCCGTATCCGGTTCTAACTGTCGCTTCTTGGCCCTTATACAGGTTTCTCAAGAGACATGTGAGGTGGTCTGGTACTCCCATCTCTTTAAGGACCTGCCATAGTTTGTTGTGATCCACACAGTCAAAGGCTTTAGCATAGTCAATGAAGCAGAAGTAGATATTTTTCTGGTACTCTCTTGCTTTCTCCATAATCCAGCGAATGTTGGCAATATGATCTCTCGTTCCTCTACCTCTTCGAAACCCAGCTTGTACTTCTGGCAGTTCTCTATCCATGTACTGTTGAAGCCTAGCTTGTAGGATCTTGAGCATGACCTTGCTAGCGTGTGATATGAGTGCAATTGTGCGATAGTTTGAACATTCCTTGGCATTGCCCTTCTTTGGGATTGGAATGTATACTGATCTTTTCCAATCCTGTGGCCACTGTTGCGTTTTCCAAATTTGCTGGCAAATTGCGTGCAGCACTTTAACAGCATCATCTTTTAAGACTTTGAATAGCTCAGCTGGGATACCATCACCTCCACTAGCTTTGTTGTTATTAATGTTTTCTAAGGCCCATTTAACTTCACATTCCAGGATGTCTGGCTCGAGGTCAGTGATTATACCGTCGTGGTTGTCAAGGACATCGAGGTCTTTCTTGTATAGTTCTTCTGTGTATTCTTGCCATCTTTTCCTAATCTCTTCTGCTTCTGTTAGGTCCCTACCGTTTTTGTCCTTTATCATGGCCAGCTTTGCATGAAACGCTCCCTTGATTTCTCCAATTTTCTTGAAGAGATCTCTAGTCCTTCCCATTCTACTGTTTTCCTCTATTACCCACACCTAGTGAAAGATAAATGCAGACTACTCCTTGCACATAATAGCACTATTTGCTGTCACTGGCTCCTAACCAATATGCATAGCCATTTTCTACCTCAAACAAGATAAATGATGTAGCACACAACTATGGTTGAATAAGCTTGTGGCACCCTCTTATTAGGGAGGACTAGTTTTCCCTTTAAATGTGCTCTTTACAGAACTGGGTAGATTCGGCTGCCACCAGGAATTTAAGGATTTCCAAACCTTCTCTCTGTTTCTCTTACTGGTAGGGTAACACAGGGTCTAGGCTTTTCAGGGATCTATGTGGTCCTGAGGAATGATTGATATGACTTTTGGGATATATTTAAATAAAATAGGATTTATTGAAAGAGGAACAAAATAAGAGGTTGGTTATTATGTAACTGGCTGGGAATAAGGATCTTGTAAATATAGTTGTCAACTGTATCACACACTCAGTTTTAGTCCTGACAGGAATCTCTCACTTAGGCGACCCCACATTTTAATCTCTTGGTAAATTTAACTTTTTAAAGAACTTCAAAGATTCACTATTGAAGATATATGCTGCTCTCTCTCTCAGATACCACACAGAACAAACTGAACTCTCACTCTGAACAACATCAACCTTTTTCAACTCCACTGCTTTCTCACTAACTGATTCTCCTAACTGTCTTTCATAGCTGACACTCTGACACACCCACAGATTCACTTCAAAAACCCCTCCCACACAGCACATTTCTCTCTCCCAATCATTCTAGTCTGCTAACACCATGCACTTCAACCAAGCATTTCAAGGCACACACACTCTCCTAAAACAAGGAATCATTACAATGCTTTTCTGGTAACATTTTAAAAATAGCTTTCTTCCAAGTTGAGAAAAAAGGCTTCAATACACAAAACTATGTAAAGGAAATAAAATGGCTAAAGCTTCTGAATTGGTCGTATGTTCCACTCAGTATGCATATGCATATCTTCTTACACATGCTGGCTGCCAATTTAAGAAATCTTTCCATAGCAAGAACCATTTCAGTGATGCTTCCCATAACTAAGGTCACAACAATTGCATTACAAGACATTGTCATCATCTGGCACACATTTAATTAAACTACAAATAGCTGTGTGAATTAATGTCTGCAATTTCACATCTGTTTAAAATTAATGTTGAGGAAGTCCACCTCCTACAGTTTTACAGTTTTCATATGGCTTGTACTTTTCTGCTCTTAATTTTCTTGCAAGAGGCATCTATCATCCATTAGAATTAAGTATCTGTTACCACTACTTTGTAAATAGGCAGAAGCTTGTCTGTTTAGAAGCAGAAACATATAAAGGCTGTTTAAACACAAGAGGCAGAGTTGCCCACTGCCCTGATGTGGATATGTTCTTATCATTTATACAAAAGAGAACAAGAACAAAAATAGTTTAAAGGAAAAAAAAATCACAAGCACATTCTGATCACATGGAACTGTAATAAAGATTAAGCTTTGATCCACATACTGGATTTCTAGAAATTTGGGATCTGCAAATACTTGCAGTTTATTGCAGTCATACATTGTTCTCCTCTCACCTATTTATTCTCACAACAATTCTATGAGGTAGGTTAGGCCAAGGGAGTGAGTGGCCCAAGGTCACCAAATGAATTTCATGGCTGAGTGAGGATTTGAAGCCAATTCTAAGTCTGACACTCTGACAACCATATCGCACAGTTCAACTGCATTACATTCCTCACATCTATTGACTGTGTTTATAACCTGCCGTTACTTCAGGGAACTCAGAATGGAACTCATGTAGTCCTTCCACTTTAAGCTTGCAACAGTCCTGTGAGGATGCTTAGGCTAAGAGACAGCATCTAAAGACTATTTATTGTACTTAGATAATAACATACTATATATGGAATTTTTACTTTTCCCCCTAAGGTTAGATTCAAATGACTACTTGTGGCATGGATACTTGCTACTTCCACCTTATACACTATCCCTCTATGCCCCATGTTCTCATCTACACTGCTCTTAAAAGTTGGGGCTTTTGGAAACAGTGTAGGACGTGATGGGTATGGCTGCAGTGGGAAAGAGGTAATTACTCCCTTTCTTGAATAAGCAAATGCATCATTTTATATGTGAAATGTATGAAGTTGGAATACAAATGTACATTTCAATTAGTAATACCTAGGGCTTTTGTGTGTGGTGGTACACTCTGGTACTGAGAACTGGCACCATTTGGGAGCTCTCCCAAGTCCTGATGGAGGAATTGGTGGAAATCAGTACAACCTTATATGAGTCCCAGCACCGCCTTTCCAAGAGCTGTGGTGGCTCAAGTGGTTAAGACGCTGAACTGCAGGCTGTGGAAGGTCGGTAGTTCAGCAGTTCGAGACACGAGCAGTGTTCCCTCTAAGCTGAGTTTGTGTTAGCTAGCTCACAGTTTTTTAGCTTCCGGCTCACAGATTTTTGCCTTAGCTCAGGAAGGATGGCCTCAAAGCAAACTAATTTATGCAGTAACCTAATGGCTTGCTCACAACTTTAATGCCCATAGCTCACAAAGTAGGATTTTTGCTCACAAGACTCCACAGCTTAGAGGGAACATTGGACACGAGTGTGCCACATGATGGAGTGAGCTCCCGTCTCTACTTCCAGCTCCTGCCAACCTAGCAGTTCGAAAGCAAGAAACTGCAAGTAGATAAATAGGTACCACTTCAGTGGGAAGGTAACAGCGTTCCGTGTACCTTGGTGTTTAGTCATGCCGGCCACATGACCACGGAAATGTCTTCAGACAGCGCTGGCTCTTCGGCTTTGAAACAGAGATGAGCACCGCAACCCTAGAGTCGGGTTCGACTGGCTTTCGAGCAAGGGAACCTTTACCTTTTTTATCGCCTTCCCCCCAAAAATTAAAAAGCACTGGTAACACTACTAACATTTCACTAAAAAGCCTATTTGGCTTTGGTAAACACTGCAGAGTCAGAGAAGAGAGCTCAGCCATGCTTTAAATGTTTAGAATAATACTGTTGATTTCACATTTTCATCAAATACACTTAACTATAAAACTATATTTTGGAAAACAGGACAACACATACACTCTTAACATTTACTTACCAATCCTGGCACACTTCCAGAATATACCCAGTAATCTGAGAAGTTATTAAAAGAGATCAGAAAAAACACATCATATTTTATATCTGAGATATTATTCAAATAAAGATCTACTGGTTGTTACTAAAATCCAAAGAGCTACTTTTGACATGTTCAATGAAACTTTTTTCTTTGAAAGGATCCCCCGCCTTTTATACCATAAACTTATCTGAATATTCTCAGTCATAAAGTTTCTTGCATAACGTGAGGAGGAGAGAACATATTATTTGAAGAGAACAAACCCCAAAAGTCTTCTGGCTGCATAAAGCCACTTGCATGTTTTTTGAAATCTACCTTTGATCACACAGATGAAATCGGCATTTCCCCTGATCCCATGCTGCCAATCAACACAGATCCCTGTTTGGATGTAGTCATGTGAATGCAAAAAAATGTAGCAACGTAGAGCACATTCCTACACAGAACAATACAGATTTAGAGAATTGTCTTTGCAAGGAATATTTAAGTGTGTTATGCTCTGTAGTTGGCTTGGCAAAGATACTGGGTTGGATTCTGTGCCTCTTCCTGATTCAAGAGGCTCTTTCATCAGTGAAAGAGTTTCTTGCACCAGCAGAAGACTCTTCATTTTAGAGAAATGTACAGAATGGATATGAAGGATTCCACTTGTGAAATGGCAAAAATCCATTAAGTAGTAAGTCACAACTTTAGAAAAGATGCTGACATGCTACAAAGCCAGAAAATGCAAACACTACATACAGCACAATAGCCCTAACCTTAACTTGATATAAGACAGCAAAACAGGATTATACTCACACAAAATGAGAAGCCCACCCAGCCACACTAGGAACACTGGCATATGACCCTACAATATGTATAATTCAGTTAGGAGTCTTTTAATAGGAGGGGAAAGTATGTACCTTAAAGGCACAGTTTTAATAATCTGAAAACCTTGATTGTGCAGTTTAATGAATGTTTTACAAGAATATAGATTTTACTAACTCAAGTCACCACAGCACCCAATTTAGTATTCTAGTGCCTAAGGGTAGGTATTGTTCTGTTTTGCTTATTGGTATTTGAATCTTCTCAAGTACTGCTTTTTATCTTGTATAAATAAAAATAAATTAACTTCTGTTCTGTGATGTCAAATGGCTACCTATAAGAACAGGTCCCTGTCTCCTTTTTATAAAGATGAAGAAACTCTGTTGGACTGATGACTGAAACGTAGGTTTTCAATTATTTAAAATGTTTATTGCAAAGATCTTGTATTAATGATAACATCAGAAAAGAAAACAAACAGATGCGAATAAGCTATTTACATATTACATATAGTCTGAAAAACTTACTAAGCATTCACATACCCAGTTTGATTGTTATCCAGTAATTTGGGAGCCAAGGATCTTATGTATGCACAGGTACATATAAGGAGTAAGATTACTGTGAGTAGACTCTGAAAATTGAAGATTGCAGACTGCAAGGGAAAAAAATTAACAAAACAGGAGTTATGGCTCAACCTTCAGAAACTCTTCCTACTCATTCTTTACTAGTGAAGAGAAAGATATGATTTCTTTTTTTAATCCTAGAAGGCTCTTTTACCAAAGAATGGGGATAGGACCAAGAAGTTTGCAGAGACAGATGATCATCCATGACTTTCTCTTTCCCACAGAAGTCCAAAAGCCAATGCTGATGGTCAGAGTATCATTGGTTGCACAAAGGGCTGCAGCAAGGAGGTGGGGAAGTAGTGCATGATTCTACTCCTCTTTCTTGAACTAGTGGAGGGAGCTCAGTGGGGCTACCTCCTCCTTTAAAGAGTGGTGTTTTAACTTTTCCGGTAAGACTGAAATTGTTTGATAAAAGAGGTAAACTTTTAAGCAGCTATGGAAATGGGGTGAAACAGAGAACCAAATATGCTTCTTCCTTCAGTTTTATGTTTTCAGAAACACAGCCTTGTCAGGGGTTCTATTTCTAGGCTACTTCAAGCGTAATTTAGTGTTGTAGAATAGAACACAATCTTTCAATTGTTTTTAAATATATATACACATTTGGAGAATAATGCCTTCTTGCTTATATTTTTTAACTTACAAGTTCAGGCAGCTGCAACACTTGATTTACCAGAGATACACTTTCAGAAATAGTGAACTGATCTGAAAGTAAAACAAAATAACTCTAGAACAAAGAAAAGGAAGAATTTAGAGTTGAAATCCAAATTTTAAACTGATGTAAGATAAAGCCATCATGGACATTTTTTAGATGGAAAGGTGGCATACAAATGTGGTAACTAAAAAGTAATAGATGAATTGAGATGATGGATTTCTGCTCTCTTGATCCCGACCACTGAAGGAACATGGAACTAGCTTTGTGAAGCAAAAGGAAGATTATATTCTTATCTTGCAAGCACCCATCCATGGCAAATGACAGATCACTTTCAAAACAAGCAAACCTTTAAAATCAAATGAAACAAAATGAAAGGACTTCACTCTCAGATAGTTTAAGGCCACCCAGAAGGTTAATGGATGAGCAATATTAAGTGTTAATTTTATCTGGCCCAACATTAGGCCTATCAAATTGATATCAAACTGTGGGACTTAGGCTGACATTAGAGAAGAAATATTTAACCCCGTGCCTGTACTTTTGATAGGAGAACCAAGATTTAACCTCTGAACCACAGTTTCTGAAGTACAGCTTGCTCACACTTTTGGGCAAATGGACTAAGGAAGACCATTGCAATCTAAGGCCTTATGGTTCTTATAAACCATTATCATTCAAATCTAGCTGTTCACAAATCTAAGCTTTGCAAAATTTTACACAAAATAATCAAAATAACTAACAACTCCTAATGTTGCACTTAAACTTCCATAGAACCGATAAATTAAAAAGAAGAAGAAGAAGAGATTGGATTTATACCCCACCCTTCACTTGGAGTCTCAGAGCGGCTTACAAACTCCTTTCCCTTCCCCTCCCCACAACAGACACCCTGTGAGGTGGGTGGGGCTGAGAGAACTCTGACAGAGACTGCTCTTTTTCAAGGACAGCTGTGCCAGAGCTTGTGACTGACCCAAGGTCACATCAGCAGGTGCAAGTGGAGGAGTGGGGAATCAGACCCGGTTCTCCCAGATTAGAGTCCGCACACTTAACCACTACACCAAACTGGCTCTCCTGTAACAAAAAAGATCTGTTATTTTAACTGAAAGTCCCATGAGGTCCCACAGGTGAATAGAAAGTCCCCCCCCCCCATTTCAAGATCTTTTTTTTAGTTGCAGAATTTAGTGGGATTTACTATTCAGTAAGCATATTCACAATCGTGCACGCACTTATTTTGGGAGTACATCTCACTGATATACAAGAATATCTGACAGAAGACTTAATCCCAGGAATATATGAGACCTAACAGAATTTTCAAGACTTAAATTTTTAGAAATTTTAAGTAATAAACACTACTAATACCTATCTAATGACCCACAGAACAAACAAGAGAGAGATGCTCTGAGAACACTGAAACACACACTTATATTATTAATGCATAATAATTACAATGCAAGCTTCCAAGGAACTTCAGCCCTGGGGTCAAGTAAAATGATGTCTTAAAAACTCAAGAACAGATTAGAAAGCAGCATGCAAATTAATAGCTGCTGAGATAATAGGTGAGTGAAGGGGAAGGTCAGGCCGTGGAAGGTTTCCCATAAGACCTCCGCCCTCAGGTGCCACAGGCAGCGGGGAACAAAAAATAAAAGGTGACATCGTGAAGAGACATTACACCACAAGCCTGCTGAAAACAACGCAAAGTCATGTGGTAGAGGTACTGCAGTCTTACCGTATCACCAGATGCCCTTTTCCTTTTTGCCGCAGCAGATGAACGCGGCAATTAGGGAAAGTTAGTAATTTCTTTTTTTGTTTTTTTAAGACTAGGCCGCTATTACGTTTCTATGAAGATGGGGTGTGTGTGTAATAAACAGGAAAGGAGGAGGGGCAACTTTGCACCCCGCTGAAACCATCAAGGCGACCGCCCACCCCATCCCATGCGCAACGCCAAACACAGGACCGAGAGGGGGACCAGCGACCGGGAAAAAACTCATCCCCCTCGCCTCACCGCTAACACCGCTCTTACCATAGTTACGAGTTGCCTCGAGCCACATCACACATCCGGCAGTAAGGAGGCGGGCGGGGACAAGGAAGAATCGGCACATTATGACCCCTCTCATTGGCTGGGAAGAAGGAGCCTCGGATTGGCTTAAGCGAAGCGTAAATCAGTGCCTGATTGGAGGAGCAGGGTGGGACAGGCCGATCGTGGATGGGACGCTGCAGGATTCTTACTGGCTAAAGCGAAAAGAAGAGGGAGGGGCACAGCGTTTGTTTTTGCTCTAGGAAGTCTTAAGGTGGGATTTCCAGTACGGTGTGAGGTAGGAAGGTGGAGGCATTGGAAATGCGGGGGCAATGTGTGGGTTAATAGTTGCTGGTGTGATTTCATTTTACTTGTGTAGCAGGTGGAGAAGCCGAGGAGAGCTTCTCGAAAGGGTGCGTTTGCGTGCTCTCCCTGGGCTGTCTTGTTCTACACAGGAACGGAGAGGATATCGATGCTCCTCTGTTCATTTGAATCTCTAGTTACTTTCGCTTTAGCGTTTCCAAGCTGTTATGCAGTCGTAAAAGCTGGTAACGACTATGCTCGTGGAATAATGCCTCCGGGTCTCGTCCTAGGTATAGATAAGTAGGTGTGGAGATGATCTCCTCAGTTGTAAGCTTTTAAAAGTAACTTAGAACATCCAGTGGTACCTTTAAGACCAACAAAGGTTTATTCAAGGTATGAGCCTTTGTGTGCATACACACTTTTTCAAATGCACATGAAAGCTCATACCTTGAATAAACCTTACATAAGAACATAAGAGATGCCAATGTTGGATCAGACCAAAGGCCCATCCAGTCCAACACTCTGTGTCACACAGTGGCCAGAAATTCCAGGTGCCATCAGGAGGTCCACCAAAGTTTTCTAATTAGTAATGGTTAACCTTTGTTGGTCTTAAAGGTGCCACTGGACTCTAAAATTTCTTCCACTGCTTCAGACCAACACTGCTGACCACCTGGAACTAACTTAGAACATCATTAACTTAGAGTTATATGGGGTGGAGAATTCCTGTTGCCAAAGTTTTCTAATTAGTAATGGTTAACTTTGTAAAAACGTTTAGTGTGTCCAGTTCTTTACTATTCCTTTAGTGAAATGTTCATAAGAATTACATGTTATTTTGTTCTGTTAATCATGAAGAAGCTGTAAATTACTTGTTCTTCCTTGGTTCATTAACTGGAGTAAAAAATAAATAAATTTCAGGTTCATATGCATAGCAGAGAGCTACTACAACACAGAGTCTAGTGTGCTAGACTAGGACCAGGGATATCTGAGTTCAAATCCCCACTCAGCTGTGAACTCACTAACTCTGGTCAGTCATTCTCAACCTATCCTACCTGACAGGGTTGTTGTTGGGATAAAATGGAAGAGGTGAGAATTACCTGCTTTTTGTGCTCCTTAGAGGAAAGACAGAATAAACATGTAATAGGTGAATAGAACCTATAGAAAATAAAAATTGGATCACTGCTCTCACAAGAATGTAAGAATTCCCTTGGTAGTCCAATCTAAATGTAGTCCAGTACTAAAGGCTGGTACTCCAAGGAAAGGTGAAATGCTCATTAAAGGCTGTACAAGAAATTGCATTATTTTAAGCTTTCTGTTAATTTGCCATGTAACATATTTGATAACTTCAGATATACTACATAAATACTAAACTAATATCCCAATACTGTAAATGAAATATAATTTGACTTTTGAGGCATGTTGGCTCCCCAAGAGATCCAATACAAATACCAGTTACAGGATGTGGCTGGGTGTAGATGCAATTCAGCTGCAACTGCTACAGCCATTGGAGGGAGAGAGATTTGGTGGAGGAGTCTTCTGTTATAGCTGGGTTCAGGCATGAGGTGGTGGTTGCTTTTGTATCTCCCTCTGGGGGCATTATGAATGGCCCCTTTGGGGACTTAGTGTGTTTACTGTTGAAGGAGATACTTTCAAAAGGAAGTACTGCGAAAACAATAAACTGCTGTCATAAATTTCAGTAAGGCAGGATAATGTGCTAAACTATAAATCAAGACTGATGTTTTTACAAAGTATAATGCTGTCTGCATTGACTGGCTTATTTATAAAATGTAAAGGCCATTCTTTAAATTAAAAACAAGAGAAAATAACTATCGTTTGTACAAATAATTCAACAGCAAACAAATGGTGCAGTAGAACATGAAGCAGCATCTGGTTTTATAGCCTTGCCGGTAGAGTGTATGGTCTTTACTGATGTTCTAAAGCTCATAAAATATTATTAGGCAGGCCTTCGCAATTGCTGAGCCACAACAAAGTTGTCATCTGCAGGACGTATGACTTAGGGGTGCCTGAGTAGGTAGTAACATGGAGAGTTAATGAACATGGCTAAGGCCATGTTTTGGAGCTTTAGAGAACACAATTGAAAAGTGAACTCAAAGGCTATGGAAATCCAGTGCAGTTGGGCCATGACTGGGGCAACTTGAATCCCATGGCTTACCCTAAAAATTAAGCTACATGGTTGCACTCTGACTGGTTGATGTTTCTGGATTATTTATCAACTCCATTGAAGTGGCTAATCTTTAAGAGACTTTGACTTGAAAGACAATGGTTTAGGGGTCCTTGTATTGCAGGAATGGATAACAGCTAGGAATTCAGATGCAGCTGAACAAACACAACTGATACAGATGCTGTATAATAATAGGGGATATATAATATAGGGGATCAGATGGAACTTTGTGGCCAAGTGCTCTGTAGTAACAATCCATGCCTACTTTCTGATTTTGCTGTAGGTGGGAGGTCTGCAGTTGCTTTGGAAAATACTTGCAACACCAACACCCAACCAGGTGATTCAATAAAATCTGGTGAACAATCATCGGAAAACTTTTGTGAGATCTAGAAGAACCAAGAGTTGCATTTTTCTTGTTATCTGTAGGCACCAGTGGTTGACACCCAAAGTTGTCTGTCCGAAAGCTTAGTCTGAACCCACACTGAATTCCATCAAGAAAATCCAATCCATCCAGGAATACCCGGAGCTGATCTGTCACAATACTTGACTACTTATCAAAGGCAGGACTGTAGAAGATCAGTAATTCTTCCGGTTTTCTGTTTGAAGGAAAGACTTTTTAGTAGATGATATACCACTACCACTTAGTGCTGTTGGCATTGTTCCTTGTGCTAATTACCCATTTTGCAAAGGCAATCATAAGAACATAAGAGAAGCCAATGTTGGATCAGGTCAATGGCCCATCCAGTCCAGCACTCTATCATACAGTGGCCAAAAATACCAGGTGCCATCAGGAGGTCCAACAGTAGGGCCAGGACACTAGAAGCCCTCCCACTGTTGGCCTCCCCAAGCACCAAGAATACAATGCATCACTTCCCCAGACTAAGAGTTCCTATCTATACCTTGTGGCTAATAGCCACTGATGGACCTCTGCTCCATATGTTTATCTAATTCCCTCTTGAAGCAGTCCATGCTTGTAGTCGCCGCCACCTCCTGTGGCAGTGAATTCCATGTGTTAATCACTCTTTGGGTGAATAAATACTTCCTTTTATCTGTTCTAACCTGACTGCTCAGCAATTTCACTGAGTGCCCACGAATTCTTATATTGTGAGAAGGAGAAAAGTACTTCTTTCTCTGTTTATTCCATTCATAATCTTATAAACCTCGATCATGTCACCCCTCAGCCGTCATTTCTCCAAGCTAAAGAGCCCCAAGCGTCTTAACCTTTCTTCATAGGGAAAGTGTTCCAACCCTTCTATCATTCTAGTTGCCCTTTTCTGCACTTTTCCCAATGCTATAATATCCTTTTTGAGGTGTGACCAGAACTGTACATGGTATTCCAAATGAGGTCGCACCATTGATTTATACAGGGGCATTATGATACTGTCTGATTTGTTTTCAGTTCCCTTCCTAATAATCCCGAGCATAGCATTGTCCTTTATTGTAGTTGCACACTCTCGACATTTTCATTGAGTTATCTACTACAACTCTAAGATCTCTCTCTTGGTCAGTCTCTGCCAGTTCGGACACCGTCAATGTGTATTTATGGTTATCCTATTTATATTTAAGATTTTTGGCTTCAATGTGCATCACTTTGCACTTGGCCACACTGAACCCCATTTGCCATGCTGACGCCCACTTGCCCATCCTCGACAGATCCCTTTGGAGTGCCTCACAATCCTCCCTGGTTATCACCACCCTGAACAACTTCGTGTCATCTGCAAATTTAGCCACTTCACTGCTTACTCCCAACTCCAAATCATTAATAAACAAGTTAAAAAGCATCGGACTGAGTACTGATCCCTGTGGTACCCCACTGCTTACCACCCTCCACTGAGAAAATTGCCCATTTATACTCACTCTCTGTTTCCTATTAATTAGCCAGTTTTTGATCCACAACAGGACGTCCTTTTATCCCATGACTATTGAGCTTACTTAGGAGCCTTTGATGAGGAACTTTATCAAAAGCTTTCTGGAAGTTAAGGTAAACAACACCTATTGGATCCCCCTTGTCCACATGTTCATTCACTCCCTCAAAGAACACTAACAGGTTAGTGAGACAAGATCATCCCTTACAGAACCCATGCTGAGTCTGCCTCAATAGGTTTTGTTCATCAATGTGCCTACTAATTCTTTCCTTAATAACAGTTTCCACCAACTTTCCCGGTATCAATGTCAGACTGACTGGCCTGTAATTTCATGAATCTCCTCTGGAACCCTTTTTAAAGATGGGAGGGACATTAGCTATCCTCCAGTCTTCAGGAATGGAGGCAGATTTTAATGAGCCAGTTTGGTGTAGTGGTTAAGTGCGCAGACTCTAATCTTGGGAGAACTGGGTTTGATTCCCCACTCCTCCACTTGCACCTACCTCACAGGGTGTCTGTTTTGGGGAGGGGAAGGAAAAGGAGTTCGTAAACTGCTCTGAGACACCTTTGGGTAGTGAAGGGCGGGGTATAAATCCAATCTCCTCCTCTTCTTCTACATATTTTTGTCAGGAGATCCATAAGTTCACATTTGAGTTCTTTCAGAACTCTCGGATGTATGCCATCCGGGCCTGGTGATTTATCAGTTTTTAAGTTGTCTAACAGTCGTAGGACCTCCTCTCTCATCACCTCAATCTGACTCAGGTCTTTCAACACCCCTGCCGAAATCTGTAGTTCTGGAGTGGGCAAGCACTTCTCATCTTCCACAGTGAAGACAGAAGCAAAAAATGCGTTCAGCTTCTCAGCCATTTCCCTATCATCCTTCAGTACTCCTTTTACGCCTTGGTCATCCAAGGGCCCCACTGCCTCCCTGGCTGGTTTCCTGCTTCTAACGTA